CAAATATTAGAAATTCAAAATAATCAAATGAAAAAATATTGGATAGTAATGGAATATGCTGATGGCGGTGCGCTTCGAAACTATTTGAAGAAAAATTTTGATAAGCTTACTTGGGAAGACAAGCACAATTTAGCATTCCAGTTGGCATGCGCTGTATCTTGTTTACATGACGAAGGGATAGTGCATCGTGATTTGGTAATCTTTGATTATTTTTATTTATTTTATTTTGTAATTATGAATATTGTAGTATAATATAATTAATTAAATTATTAATTTTACATATAATGCAAGCATTCTGGCAATATTTTAATTCATCAAGGTATTATTAAACTAGCAGATTTTGGATTATCTAAAAGAATTGAAAAAGCGACTAAACAACAATCACAAGTATTTGGGGTAATCCCTTACATTGATCCGAAAAGTTTTAATAGAAGAAGTGACAATGACAATAATACATCTCAACAATATATATTAAATCAAAAAAGTGATGTTTACAGTGTTGGCGTGCTCTTATGGGAGATATCAAGCGGTCGTCCCCCTTTTTATGTTGAAGGTGAGAAATATGACATTGGTTTAGCTATAGAAATTTCACAAGGACTTCGAGAAAAGATCGTTCCGAGTACTCTTAGAGAATATTCAAACATTTATACCGGTAAATATTTAAGATTTAGATTATATTTCCAAGTTATTTTTTTAATAACTTTTTACGTTTTTAGAATGCTGGGATAATAATCCAGATAAGCGTCCAACAATGAATCAAGTAGTAGATAAATTAAATGCAATTATTTCAAAAACTGGAATTATGACCGAAGATGTTCAAATGGATAATTATAATTCAAATCATCAATTATCGAAACATAATAATAGTTCGGTACATGGAGAATTATCTCAAATTATTCAGAATTTTGATCAGATGAACGTGGAAGAATTAGGATCCAATAGTTCAGATAGTGAAATAATGGATATAATTTATGATGATAGTGTTCTTAATTTAACTATCACGGACATTAATGACTTAATAAACGCGATAGGAGGATTACAAAAATTTCGTAAATTAAAAGTTCTTTTTTGCGAAAATACTTGCATAACTTATCTACCAACTTTACCTAATTCCGTAACAGAACTCTATTGTGATAATACCCTATTAACTAGTCTACCAATATTGCCTAGCTCCTTAACAAAACTCTATTGTCGTAATACTAAAATAACTAGCTTACAAACCTTGCCTAACTCCTTAATAAATCTCTACTGTCGTAATACTAAAATAACTAGCTTACCCACTTTGCCTAACTCCTTAAAAATTCTTAATTGTAGAAACACACAAATAACCACCCTACCCACCTTACCAAACTCTTTGACGGAACTCTCCTGCTCTAATACTCCATTAACTAGTTTACCAAATTTACCTAACTCCTTAAAAAATTTATATTGCTATAAAACTCTCATAAATAGCTTACCAACTTTACCTGACTCCTTAACAATTTTATTTTGCGGTAATACTCCAATAATTAGTTTACCAAATTTACCTAATTCCTTAAAAAAACTATATTGCTATGGAACTCAAATAACTAGCTTACCAACCTTACCCAACTCCTTAACTTACCTCGACTGTGAACATACACAAATAGTTAGTCTGCCAACTTTACCTGATTCTTTGATAGAACTCCATTGCAATAATACTAAAATTACTTGTTTACCAAATTTACCAAATTCCTTAACGATTATCAATCCTGGATCTTTAAAAATTTAAATTTTCAATAACTTATCAATAACTATTTTAATGCTTTCAAAATTCATATCCTTTTTTTATACTATCTATCAACTTTAATTGTTGCATTAATAATTTAAATTTTTATTTGGCAAACGTTCTTTTTTTATTTCTGATGCAATTTCTTTGTTAAATACCAAAATCTTTATAATTATTTATTTATTATTTATTATTTTAAATAAAATAAATTTGACTTCATTGAGTCATCTCAAAATTGTTGAAACCATCGAAATTCAACAAAATCTGTTGCAACCTTACGCAATCAAGAATGCCGTGTGTAATTACTTCACTAGATCTCCGTTATCTAAAAGTTTAGCATTCATTTCATAAGAATATATTATTGATTACAAAATTTTCTTGTCTGAATATTTTCTCGATAAATCGATGATTTATAAAGCGTCTCGCAAAAATATAAGAAAAATTAGAAAAATTAATAGACTTATGAAACTGAATAGTTTTACGTCAACGCTACGATTGGCGCAGCAACTGCGGTGTATATCAAAAATGTCAAAAATATATTCTATTGCAGACATATCAAATATGTTTTACATATCTTAATTATTTTTTATCTGTTTTATTTATTATATTTGTTTTATTTATTATTTCTATTATATTAGTTTTATTATGTTTGCTAGTAAATTGAAACAACGATTTTGTATAAATAGATCGGGAATTCGATCTAGAGAAAAACAGAGAAAATAACAAGTAGTAAAAGTTTCTCTCAAAGATTTAATTAGACTATTCTAGTTTGTGATGATAAGTCTAAAGAAAAGGCTTGTAGAATTCCTAATTAATAAAGTTGTTTATTTTACCCTTTCAATCTTCTTCGTGTCTTCATAGAGGTTTTGATGCGATATCTAACTACACTAGCGAATCGTAATATATAAATTATACGTCGGACGAACTAAATAAAAAGTAAATAAGTGTTTATTGACTTGAGAAGGCAAGGAAAATGGTCAACAATCGGGCCAACAACGGCAATTTAACTGTGTATTAATTAGGATACGTTGTACCATCCAAGAAATTAAGATCGATAGCATAAATGCCAGTATGCTGTCCGCATTAAAATTTATTACTTTCATAAATAAAAACTATTGTGAACAGATTTGTTTAGTTATATAATTTGATTAAAGTTATAAATAAGGAAACAGTATATATTAAGAATTTAAACTTTTCATTTCAGCATACTATTTTTTTTTAAATATAAATAATAATTACACGACCATATATGATCATTATACATTGGTCATGAGTAATTTGTCACGGGGAGAATACACCTGGCTAATTGCAATCGTATCTGATCTTGAATTAATATAAAAAAGTGCATACAAAATACTATCATAATATAATATTTTTATTTCTTTAAAATATTACAAAAGCATCAGGTCAATGGAAATATTTTTTTTTTTTTTTTTTTTTTACGAATATCTAATCTTTAAGTATTATTACACAATAACATTGATGTAATTATAATTACTTTCCCAATTTATTAAAATGTTTCTCTCCAAAGTATTCATGTCCCTTCCGTTGTACTACTATTCTGTTAACCTAATTATCTGAACTTTAATTAAATTCGATGATGAGTAGATATTCAAAAAGATTTTTTTTCTCACAATATACAAAATATCTTTCGTATTTTTTTATTTTGTTTTTTGCTTTATTTCATTATCCGGTAAAAATTAAAAATTAAGCGGTATGCTGTAAATATTATTTTGCCAACGACTGCCATATCACGTGAAAACATTAGGTTGAACTAAAAAAATTTAATGAAGAATTTAGTTACAATAACATGTTTGCACCATTCCTTCATTAACCCAACTCAAAATTCATCGGCTGCTATTCCATTCCATAAGTATTTAGGACTGTTCGAATGCCCATCATAACGGCTGGCTAATGTTCTTTCTTGCACCTTCATGTACAGATTGAGATGATAAAATATTTTCTGTTTATATCGTATAAATTAGCAATTATAAATAAATAAACAAATTGTTAAATATTTTTTTTAAAAAAAATTTAAAGTCCCACTAATAGACATCGTGTTAGAATAATTAAAGTAAAAAAATTTCGACCGTTGACCGTAGTTTGCCGTCACGAAACATGTGATCCGCAACGTGATTTTAAATAGCAATGTCTATATGTTCATGTTAATGAATTTCTGAAGCCTCATTTGAATATGCAAAAACTTGATTTTTCAAATATCAAGTTTCAATATTTACCTCAGGTGATAGCATAGCTAGTCTTTAATTATCATCTGAACATATCGATAATTCGTAAATTGAAGTTTACCTTGTAAAATAAGAAATTTATTTATAAAGGGAGGATTAAATCATCTCCGACGCTTTTAGAATGTTGTAACATCTGAAAAAAAGATATTTAGAAGAACTGGCTCTTCCTAACCAAACATTTTATAATGAAATAAACTTCCTTATTGGCTGAATCCTTTTTATAAGTGCTGCTCGCTTTTTATAACACAAATAAAAGAATTGCACTCTTATACCATATATCAAGGCGCGAAATAGAAATAATGAGTAAACTCATCAAACAGAAAAAATGCTTTAAATAAAATAAGAGTAACATTTGTTTTTGGCATTCATTGATGCATTTCCCGATCGTTCTTTATAAGGTTCAGTTGTAAAAAAATATTTTGAAATAGTGCCCGTATGGAGACGTTAACAATAAAGTCCGTTCACCCGTCGTCGGAAGCGGCCCCTACTGTAAAAAATAAAATCATATAATATATTGATAAAAAAAAATTATATCGTAGTAACTGAATCTGATACGATAAAATCAAAACTGAATCCAAATCGATTGAATTAATCTGCTTGCTTAGTAACTATATTTCAGCCTTTGATAATTTAATAATTGTTTTTAAGAATATTAAAATCGGATATATTTGATGACGATTAGTAAATTTATTTTTGTATTCTTTATCTAATCAAGTTTATACTGAATTAAGCAGGAATAAATAAATATCGATTTTTCCTTTAAATTTTATTTATTAAATAGGTCTTCCAAATAAAATAATAATAAAAAAATAATTCTAATTCTTTAATTAAAGAAATTAAAGAAGAATTCAATCATAATTTCAAATAACCATTTTTTTTAGTAATACAAAACTCGTAATAAATAATTCTATATACAGAACTATATACAATACAATACATATAAAATATGGTAATGAAAAATGATAAAAATTGAAATCGAAAGAATAAAATAAAATAAAAATGTATGCTTATCCCTCTTTAACAAATTGCCAAATTGAATGTTGATCGTAATCTAGTTGTTTAGCAAACTCTGAAATTTGATCATTAAGATAAATGGCATTTTTGAAATTTCTAATGCGTTTTTTAGAAGGAATAAATTCCGGATCTTGATACCAAAAATCAAAGCGATATTGTAAATCATCATAATCCGATATTTGTATTGCTTTATATTTTAATACGGCTTGATTACTTTTAGCCGCTGCACTTTCATATACATTACTAAAATCAAGATTGGAGATTAAAACAAGACCTTAAGTAGAATTATAACTAGGAACGTATAAAGGATAATTAATAATACTTTACCCCATAATAGCAATCAGCATATTTTGCAAAACTATTACAAGCAAAATGCTAGCAATTATAGTAAATATTTCAACAGACCAAGAACTAAACTGTTCCCTTTGAACTAAGTCACCATTATTCCAAAAATATGTAGCGATTAATGAAGTGGGAAAAAAGTAAAATGGGTTATCATTTTGATCAGTAGGTTCAAAATCGGATTTCAGTATAACCTGAAGTGTTTCATTTGTCGCTAGGTTTGTAGCATTTCCACTCATTGTAGAATCTTTTGTTTTAATTAGTGGATTTCTTAATAAAACAAACCTACATGTAAAACTTACTTGATAAGTATTTTGTTAAAAATAATATAAAAAGTCTTAAAAAAAAAAATCTTACATTGTATGTGCGAATCCAAAAATTATAAAGAATAAAAATATTAGAAAAGGGTAAATTCTCTTGCAAATATTTATAACACAATAAATATAAAACGAAATTTCTATTTAGTGAATATTAAAAAAAAAAAATAAAGAATTTAATTAGTAAGTTAACCAGAACTCAAATATTTATTTGAAATTTGAAATTTGAAATTTTGCATTACTTGGTATTAATCGGAAATATAAAATCTGCAAAAAACGTAATTACTTAATTAATTGAATGAAGTGTAATAATAATTATTTGAAAAACTTACAAATTCAATCCAAATTATAAAAATTGAATAAGATATTTCCACAATTAATTGAGAGTCTATTACTTGAATACTTCCAAAGCCGTTAGAAATCTTAAACGTATAAAACAACAATTTGGTCATTACTGCCACAGGTAATAAAATAGAAAGTAGGTCAAACCAATTAAATATTATCTTCAAATATTTTATACTTCCATGATGAAATAGTTGCAATATTTCAGTAGCAAATAGATAAATTGCTAAATAATAGAATATACCAATTAAAAAAAATAAAAAATTTTGAAGTCCGTCGGCAGAGATACTACCAATATATACTAAACTAATAAACATAAAACAAAATCCAAATATAAAAAATCGAAGAAAAAGAAAGAAATAGTAACTATTTGCACTCGACCAATAATTATAAATTATGTATTCGATTACTGGGAGATCAAATATGTCGTCATTATCTTCAGTTGTAATTATTTTAATTAATTTTGATTTATCCTGGTTAGCTTTATACCATCGTGGTATAAATAAAAACAATAGAATATGTAAAATAATTAATTTGTAACCATTTTCATTTTCACCCTTGGCAAACCTAGTGCCCTTTGGGTCATTCTTAGGCGATTTAAATTTGGATATTATTGGTTCGATCTTCAACCAAATCCACGAATCTTTTTTAGGATTTTGATCCTTTGGAGGGACCTTAACAAATGTTTGCCACTCATTTTTTAAAAGACTGGTATAAGTATCTATATTATGAATAAAATTATTAATTTCACAATGAAATCTATTCAAATTAGATTATAAAAATGTGAACATACCATAATTTAATATCTTGCATAAAGAATATGCATCAGAAACCGTCTTTAGCAAATTAGCAAAATCTTCTGCATAAAATAAATAATAATATTCCAAAATATATGTAACAATAATTGTATCATTTAATTCGCGATCTACAAATAAAATATTTTTAATCTTTCGGCGGCAATTGTATCAATGCTAATAAATTTGACTTACCTCTGCAATTATAAATTGCTAAATTCACATCTGTCGTTGGATATTCAAGTTCCTCTTTAAGAACTGCAAGTAAATAAAATATTTTAAATATATCGACAAATAATGTATAAAGCTAAATATGATTAGGCTTGGTTTTACCTCCTGGTCGTTTCTCATTATCAATTTTTATATCCACAGGATTGTCTTCATCTATAATAATACATTTACGTTCTTCTATCCAAAATTTACATTTTGGTATATAAATATCCATACCGGACCCAAATAAAAGGTAATGAATTAAATGATCACAATCACCAAGAATTAAATTCTTCATAACATGATAGCGAACATCAAGTAGTCTATATCGTTGTGGTCGTTTTGCAGCAAATCTTGAGATAATATGATAAATATATCTGACCATTTCATTATTCTTAATATTTTAAGAGAATCATTGTTAATTATTTTCAATTTAAAAAAAAAAATTAGAATCTTAAAATCAAACTTACTTTCTGTATTTTATCATAACTTGTAAAAGATTTTGTACGAACGTTAAGGAATTCTAATGCCTCACATGCATATCTTATTCCATTCATACTCTCATTAATATCACTCCATTTAATTATTTTTTTCCTTAATATCATTCCATCTATTTTATCCATATTTTCCATTTTTTGCGTCATTTTTTTCTCAGTTATTTTTTCCTTATTCATTGAATTTTCATCATAATTACTCTCTCCTTCATTCAATTTATTTGTGTCTTTTTCATACCAATAAACCTCCAAGCGAAAATATTTCAAACCAAATCGAACATTTGTAATACGTAATTTATGCTCTTCATTTTCTTGATTATCTGGAATTCCATTCGTCCAAATAAATTCAAGAAATGGTCTCCCTTCATTGGGAAGATTTTTTTTCTTTTCTGTTTTATCATGGAATTGATGCCAGATTTGAATCGTGGACATACCGACTATAAGTTGTAAAGCTTCTGAATCATTATAACAAAGATAAAAAGAATTTTTTTCATATTTTTTTGTTACCCATGGTTCTGGTTCTCCAACTGGTACTAGTTCAAAATTATCATTTTCATTTTTTTCATCTTCATAAAAGTATATAGGGTGATTTTCTAATTTTTTAAATATTGATGGTTGCTTTTTTTTTGGAATATATTCTTCCAATTTAAAATTTTTTGAATTAATTTCAATATTTTCGTTCTTTGTTTTGATATCAATCATCTTAAGAATTGATATAATTTTTCCTTCATCATTAACTTGTAAAATATTTCCATAGGTACTAGCAAAGCAACTACTAAGATTATGCGCCGTAAGTTCTTCTAATGGCATTACTTCAACCTTGTCAGTATCATACATATCCCAGATAATAATTTTTATATCATCATCATTTTCAGAATCACTCCCAATCAAAAGTAATTTCTCGTCGCTGTTGATGAATTCTATTAAATGTATATTGATTTTTTCAAACGTTTTGGATGCGATTTTCGATCCATGTTCCGTAAGGAATAACCTATTATAAAAAGTTATGTTAACAATTTATTCTTTTTTCGTTCAGGATATTAAATGAAATAACACGTGACATTCACATGAAAACTTACCCAATAGATTGAGGTCCTTGAGCAAAGCAAAATTGTAATTTTTGTTTGTCGATCGAGTAAACTCTTATGCACCTGTCATCATTTTTTTGATCGTCTTCACGAATCTTTATACTAGTTTCCAATTTCATTTCTCCTAGATCATAAACTGTATCATGAATTTGTTAATATATATTCATAAAAAAAAATCTATAAGGTATTATTAGTTTAGGTATTTACCTTCAAGAACTTTTTTGTCGTCATCTTCATATACAAAATATTTTTTATAAATGTGTGAAAGGAGTTGGTCCATGCAATCCTGAGAATCTTTAAATTCATTCATGACATTTTCCGGACGTTTAAATCTCTCTACATTATTATCGCTAAAATTTTTATCGTCCTTATTATATTTAAAGCTATATATACCATTATAATTCAATAAAATAAATTTTTTTAAAACATAATATGATTCAACATAATTTTCAAACTCTTGCTTTCCCTCCGGATCCTTATCGATATCTTCTACAAATCTACAAATTCCTGATAGTCTATTGTAATTATATTGAATAATTTCAAGTTTATTGTAAGAATTTTCTGCGCCATCGTTAAGTTTAAGACAATAAATAGCGGTTCCAAAATCTGTTGTAGTTTCCGGATAAATATTAATAAAAACATCTTCCCCATTATGATTTTTTACAATCATTCTAATATTCTCATTTCGTGTACTATTCTCAGTATTATTCATATATTTGTTTTCTATTTTAGATGCTGCTATAAAGATAAAGCTTTCGTCGTCACACTTTACTATATTGGAAATATCGATCGACCATCTGTCCTTTGCACGTGCGTCACTTTGGAATGACGGAGGGATATTGTGAAAAACTTCTATAGAAAAATTATCCTTTATTTTAAAATGAGAAATTGTTTCATTGATTTCAGAACTTTTGTTTTCCTTTTGCTCCTTGGAGGTATCTTCATGACTTATTTCAATATGGGAATTGTCTTGTTCAGAGCTTTCATCTTCATTTTTTTTCTTATAGGTAATAAATTCGCGATGGTCGGTATTTTTCAAAACTTTAAATTGAAGGGTTGCTAAATTACAAAAAAAAAAAAAAAATATTATGAACAAATTGTTAAACTTTTAAAAAATCTGGCTAATAACGTTTACCTGCATCGAACGTGACGGCATATTTTCCATCTTGACTAATTGATATATAAAATCTATTCTGACCCTTGTCCTTTGTAGAATTTTCAGAAGACATTTGTTTAAAAAGACTTTTTTATATAAAGAAATTCAAGGGACAATGTCGTTAAGAAATGAAGGAATGGAGGAAGGAATGGCTATTTTTATTCCTTTCGAACGGTCTACAAAATCATGACTTTGTGACACGCTATAAAGCTATTTTAGGAGGCATAATAAAGTCGAGTTTCACTTTATGTCGTATTCGAAATTACAAAATAATCAATGAATATTTATTAGTATATCATAACGAAAGAAATTATTCTATTTCTTGTAAATGATCAAATAAGTTTAGCGAGAAATCCCATGCACATAAGCTGCAACAAAATTCAACGCCATATTGAACAGAATTGGAATCCATAATGAAATAACGAGAGTTCCCTATTCATTAAGTTATAAGAAAAACTCAAAACGGCAATATTTAATCAATCAAATATTGTACGATGTTGAAGATCGACATGCAAGCGAAAAAAAGTCACCTAAAATGTATTATCTGCAGGCGATCTGAATTGGAAATCCACAATGAACTAACAAGTTCATACATGCATGCAATGCAAAAATAAATAAAAAAAAAAACTAGGAAACTTTTTCGGTAAGTCCGAAATGATAATTCACATAGTTATAATAATATTGCCTTTTTTAGATACAACTGACAATATCGTAATGAACAAGTATAGCCATAACGATAATCTATTTTTTTTTTTTTTAAAAGAAATTGCGATCTGCAGGGACCAACCAGAATAGATTTTTTATAATTTAGGAGTCGCATTCTTTTGCTTTTAAATTGTATGTTATTTTTTTAGCAAATAAATTCAGCTCTAGGGTTCGGAATCGAAAGTCGGAAAATCACCAACGATTTTGACTTTAAATCCGATTAATCGGCAAAAATCGGTTACACAAAATTGAAGCTTGGGTGCGCAGTCAACTACCGTAAAGCGTTCTGTATAGTACCCTCCTATATATAGTACCCTCCCCCTTTTCAGACGGTCTAGAATGTATAGTATCCGGGTATTATAAACCACGAATTTTGCTACTCACTGTATAGTACCCGGGTACTAAATATCGTAATATTAATAAATTGAACGATCACACGATTACATTGAAAATATTGAAAATATTATTTAAAATAAAGTTTCATAAATGCAATTTCTTTATTTTATTATTCATTTAACAAGCAGCTTTATTATATATTCATTAAAACATATGCCTAATGCTTAAT